TTGCGACCCTGTGCGGGGCATTAGGAACGCACGACGGTGGCTGGGAAGCGTCAGGCGGCTGCAGTAAGAAGCACGGGGTGTTTCTCACTCGGAAGACCTGAGTCCAGTCTCGGCGCAGAAACAAATGCTGCTGGTACAAAACACGTTTGCAGGTTTATGTAGTAGTATAATACTGCGGAGCAGTCACAAATAATGCGAGAAAGAAGACGCTGTTCTATCACCACTTGTTAATAACATATACATCATAATACTATATAACTATATATGAACCTAAAATTAAAAATGTATACCAATTAAATCTATACCAAGGAACAGGTGGACCGAGGAACCAGGGAATGAGCACATACGATGGGCCCATTGGCCGGTTGGCCGGTTGGCCGGTTGGTTGGTTTTGGCCGGTTGGCCCATACGATAGGAAGCAGCCTGTTAGCCTCTACAGCCCAATTCTCCCTTCTAGGCGGCAGGGAGCGGGAGGCCGAAATGATTTTGGGCGCGTCAACTGCTGAGGTTGTTAGTCCCAAAAGTGTAGCGTATGTTTGTTTGTTTTTCTTCGGGAGTTGGCAGCGATCTTCCTCCGCTGGATGGTGAGATCCGGAACCGTCCCACAGACGGCTAGCGAGGTTTTCCCAACCAGACATCTCCCTCCAGGGGGGACACCACCCAGGCGAGACAAACTCTAAACACCTGATCGGATTCACGGCTTGTGTGGTAGTGAAGTATATGTTCGTAAGGGGTGAAGGCGGGACAAGAAAGAGGGAGGAGAGATTGCGTGCGGTCCGTGGCCCGTTTGTTAAGGTACTGCTCCTGCATTCGCCAGGTGTTGATCGGAGAAATCACGGAAAACTACCGATCAGAGCAGCCGTCCGCCAGCATTCTCTTTCAGACAGCGACTGAATTCGATCTAGCTGACAAGCAAGTGTCGAAAATCCTATTAGCGTGGGGAGTGAAATCCTAGTACCTTCCGGTCCGAGGCACCGCAGTGACATCAGTAGGTGCCAAGCGTGTGGCGGGGAGGGGTGCCTTAGGTGGGGGAGGTAGGACAGGTGCTGGAGCACGCTGCCAGGCAGTGGGGCGTGGCCGGGCAGCCAGTTGCGTGGGAGGAGATGAGCAAGGTGCGGGGGCCATGGCGAGGAGCAGGACGCCGGGGCGGGGATGCGAAGCGAAATGGCGGGGAGGGCCTCCGTCAAGCTGACACTCCCACTTCTCAGAAATTCAAAATGAAATAACCACTAATTTTGCACCAAAGTAATATATTTTGTATTCAATTATAAACAATTAAAATACGGGTGCCAATAAGACACTTGTCGCGAAAATTTACATTTTTAACCCCATTTTGAGTCAAATCTCGACGTTTAAATTGATACTACGATTTGGTACCAAAGTTATTGACAATTACAATTGAAAATTACGAAAATATACAGAATTACGATTTTTAGTACGGTGTAATTTATAAGTGGTAAGATGCTCGTTATTGATATTTTATGTAAAGTAATTAACCTTACGTGTGAAAAACGAACACAAAACTACAATAAGGTTGTAACTTTTCGTTCTTTAAAAAAAAAACTTTCTGAAAAACGAAATTTCTTCATTCGCTTTCGATAGTTTTCGTTGCAAATATTGCAACAATAAAAACATGTTAGGGGGATAACTGTCGCTTTGATTTTGAGGCTAGAGTTAACTGAATTCAATGCAGATTAGTTTAAAAATATACAACAATCTAGCCGTAGCACCCCGCCTTTTGAATGTTTTTTAATTGTTTGTAATCGAGTACTTTATTTTATTTTTATATTTCATGTTTAACTTATACTAAATTAGTACAAAATTAGAGGCTAGTTGATTTTGAATTTCTGAAAATTGGGACAGCCCAGCATTGAGTCGGAGTCGCAGCGACGGTTAACGCGGCAGGGCGGCGGCGGTCTGGAGCGGCGGGAAGCCGGCGGCGAGCAAGCTAGCGGGCAGCGGGAGCGTGCGGGAGCAAGGCCGGCGCGGCGGCTCGGCTGCCCTCCAACCCCCAGCGCCGCCACCGGCCAGCGGGCCGCTTTCGCGCTCCGCCCTCGGTCGCTCCCGTAACTTGGTCGCCATTTCTCCACGTTTATGAGGAAACGTGTGAAGCCCAAAGCACGAAACGTAATTTCCAGCCATGTATTATCAAGCGGCTGCCGTGCGCAACTTCGCCGCATCATCCGAGCTATTCCGCAGCAACTTCCAAGAGAGCAACTACGCTGAACTTCGGGTATTGTCCCCCTTGTACGAAGGTTCGCGCCGAAGTATGTATCAAACTTGCTTTCTAATTCTACTAATCAATTAATAATGATGAATGGTAGCCCTAAAAGACACTTAATACCCCATTCAATTTTAAAATTGTAATATACTATTCTAAAAATATAATAATCATACGGAATCTTCTACAACTGCATTTAAACTTCCATACACTATTTTCTAACAGATAGGGATTAAACGATTATTCCTTTCATTTTAATACCTAAGAATATTTTTATAATGTAGCTAATTTTTTTTAATTTAAGCTATTGTTTTAAATGATGATTTATCGCGCTTTTTATATTTTCCATATTACCATTAATATTGTTTACAACAATAATAATAATAATAATAATAATAATAATAATAATAATAATAATAATAGTAATAATGTCGTTATTTCTGGCGAACATCAGGCTGTAATGCTCGCTCTTCCGCCTAGCAACTTCAATATTTTTACATTTACATCTTTACTATCAGCAATATTAAATGAATTGGCAAAGAATCAGAAAGGTGTGTACATAATGTTCCATAATGATTCGTAGCTCGAACACCTACAAAATCTTAACCCCCACAAGAAGTTTTCACATTTATACTGCAGCAGAAGCTCTAGTATAATGTATCAACAGTTCTCATTGCTCTGAGGATTCTTGTAACACTGCCAGTACATGTGGCATGTGAGGAACGTAGATTTTCGAATCGCAAACTTATAACACATTTTTACCCACCAAAATGTTGGAAGAGAAGACTAGTCTATTAATTATACCTATCAAACGTGATGAAGCATCAATATTTTATCTAAATGAATTAGTCACACAATTCTCGAAAGAAAAAGCGTGCAAACTTAAATTTTAATATGCTTAATCAAAATTTTTGTAAAATCGTATTATAATAATTAGAAATGTCTTATACATGTAAACATCACTTGTCTCATGTTTGTAGTAAACATAAATATGTTGCGTTGAGTCTAATCGATTCCTGCACGGCCCTCGCGCACAGGCGCCTCCTCCGAACACCAGTTGCGCGCAATGTGCGCCTCAGCCCCTCGGCGCCGCCCGGCGCCCACCCCCGCCTCCACCAAGGAAGCCAGCCCCAGGGGCGCTTTCCGCGAGTCGTCTGTCGAGGAAACCCCCGCCTCATCCCTTGTTCTCGGGGTTAGTTACATCGACCACCGGAACAGTCTTGTTCAGCAATTCGGTAGCACTTTTGCCAGGTGGACAAATCCTTGTGGGCTCATCGTACAATAATCGGCGAGACATCTCACAGCAGGCAGCTGCTTTGCCGTTTCGCGAGGGCGCACAAAAGCGACCAATTGAAGACAGAAAAATAGGTCGCTAAGAGGAGGGGTGGCCAAGATCCAGTCTCGACGATAGAAAGTTCGGAAAGCTTGATGAACGAACCAGTCAGAAGCTACGCACCACCCACGTGGCAGCACAGCATTCTCCTAAAGGGTTGGAGAAGAAGGAGCAACGGGCAGAGAAACGAAAAGACACTTGAAATCAGAACTTGGACGCAGACGTATCTTGGCGAAGAGATGTTGAGAACACTGGTGTCAAGCATAACTTGGCAGATCAGACGCGAACGTGACTGGCCATTACCTGCCGCCCTAAACAGTTCGTCATCTGTCAAAATCCGAATTAATTACGTTCGACGGGCCGGTCAGACCGACATCTGCGAGACACACACGAGTGCGCAGCCCGTTTTATCGGCTGCTTGGTCTCGAAGAGGTGGCGGCCGCATCCGGCGCATCAACGTCGAGGTTCTACGCCTCGAGGATGGTTGCGGGCGACTACCAACGCCTGTGCGTGTGCAACAAGGGCACGAGAGTCCTGCCCGATGCGAGGCCTTCCTGTAGCAGAGCTCCGTCACAACCGGAACTGCCCCGATAACGGCTCGCGTGCGTGCAATCTTTCGGGGCGAAGTCTCCATATTATCACAATCATGTATATTTGTCCATCTCTATCAAAAAAACTAAGTAGCATTTCTAAACTGGAGTTGCTTTCAGCATCAAAACGATTTTTTTTTCACATTTTCTCGACATTTTCGGCCTCTAAGAGTAAAATTCCAATATTTAAGAATATTGAAGAAAATATGGTCATTCCCGCAACTTTCTATTGAAAAATTCGGAGTCGTTTTGAGAAAATGTTATTCTGAAAATGTGTAATTTTGAGCACATTTTCACAGAAAATATTTCAGTTTTTGAGTAGTTTCATAAGACATTATTTGAGACAATTGTACTCACAAATGCAATAATTCATAAAAACGCCCATAACGTAAATATTGACGTGAGAGATATAAAAAATATATATTGTGTAATTTTAAGAATACATCAAAATGGTATTTATGTTATGTTGTTCTGTGCATTTAGCACTATCTGTTCACGAAGTTTAAAGAAACTTTAAGCCGTTTTTGAGAAAATTTTGTTTTTAAAATTGCCTATATTTCGCTCAAAATTAAGCCAAACATACTTATATTTGAAAAAATGGTGTATAACCTCATATAAAAATGTAATTTTGAAGAAAATAATTAATTCAGAAGAAAAATCTCCAACTTCAATATTTTAGTTTATAAGACGCTGAGGATTTTTTTTTTCCGAAAATTCAGAGATTTTAAAGAAAATTGGACCTGCGCCATGTCCACTTTGCTCTATTTGATAAAAAAATACAAAAAATTGGAGTCATTTTTGAAAAAATTTGAAAATATTCTTGAGACTTCATTCTAAGTATTCGCAAAAATTACAATATCCATTTCAAAATCAAACCGGATTGATCGGGGAATATCACTCAGAGAAAACCTTCCTAACTGCGAGCCGCCGACGTTGACAGGCAGACGAAGTTACGGCATAAACCAATAATTCGGTATCAAGTACCCACAAATAGTTGATTTTGACTGCAAAACGTGTTAACGGAAGTACTTTACTATGTAAAGAAGCAACAATTACCACCTGTTTCGATATCAGGGATCTACATTAAGAATTTTTCTGCCGAAAAATCGCCGTTTTTGACTGCAATATTTAATAACTTTCTCTACACTATGTATATAGTACGAGTATGTAAGAAAGTTGAAGTCACATGTCACTGTTGAGAGCCCTTCATTTTGATCTGGCTTAACATATTTTCTTGCTCCTAAATACTTGTGTTGTTTTTTTTCACCGATGAATTAAAAAGATTTTCTTTGCACCTGAGGTGATAAGCTTTTCTTTGTTGAATTCACATTCCAGTCTTTTAGCATCAGCAATTTAATTTTTTTAATGTCACTCTCAAGAACACACTACTCAAAAATTATGGGGAAAACTTTTAATATCTGACACTATTAAAATACATAAAAGTGGTATTTTTTAAAAAACATGTCATCTATGAATCAAAACAATACTCAATAACTTGTACACAGATACACCCATGTTCTTTCAATTTTAACTTGCCATTCTACAAATAATTATAAACTTTATCCTTGTCTTTAATGAAATCTATTCATATATTAATGATGATTGAACACCAAAGCTACCTAAAAGTCCACCACAAAAAAAAACACATCATATTATCATTTCAATAACATCAATCTTTCTTGTTCTCTTTTTCTGTCTCTTTTACTTACAGAGTTGTTTCCAAAAATATAAAACCGTAATGGCTTCAGAGCCCACTCAGGTCCAGCTGAGTCTATGCCAATCCTTGTAGAAGTAACCCAATCTCCAGAACAAATTTGTTCACCTTCACTATCTGATTCTATCCACATTCCCCCCCAAGAACTTAAATCTTGCATGTTGCATGATTTTTCATCAATACACAAACTTATACACAATTTTCCAGGACCGTTGCAAAGCTCATGAGGTTTGATTGAAGGAACATTACATTTCTTAGAATCAGCCTGTAACAAGTTCCTTTTGCTGCGCATTCTCTGGTTTATTCTCTGAGTATTCATAAAATCATGACCCTGTAATGGATCAACAGCTCTCACTAAAACTGCAGCTCCATCACCTGCAAAAACAAAATAATTAATGGTAATTTCAAATCTAGAGTGAAATTGAAATATTCTGAACTTAAGGAAACAAAAACATAAAAAATTCACATTGGATCCTAACAACGAAGTAAAATATGAAGAGCAACTGCTTATTTTATCAGCTTAAATTCTAAAATACTAACAAATGAAACAGATTATGCAAACATTTTTAATAAAAATATACTTATAATCCTCATCAATTCTGCTCAAAATGTCCTGTACGTTTATACTTCTATTTTCTATAAAGGCTGATGACATTAGGTCATTGTTACACCTCCTGCCAGAAAAAATTAATCTTAACAATGGTAAGCACATTTCTGAGACCACAAGCTCCATTGACAAGGTTAGCAAATTAATTAAAAAGATTAATTTTATAAGGCAGGAGGTGTAACAATAACTAATGTCATCAACCACTATAGAAAATAGAAGAATAAATGTACAGGACACATGACGCACAAATTTTAGATCTTTTATTGATCTTAAAAAATTACTAAAAGTTTCCATTAGAACTGAAGTAAAAGTAGAAAAACATGGAATTATTTTTCATATGACAGACATGTAACAAATTAGATTTTCTAAGTGTTCATAATAGAGTCACAATACAATGAATTCTTGAAGCCTTACAATACATAGATCTAATAATATTATTATAATATCTTTATATAACTTATTGTATACTGATGAATCAGAAGGTTTTTCTTTAACACACACCAGGAAACTTCAAAAGAGAATGGAGAAATCAGAAATACAGGTATGTCTTTCTAAAAATTATGTTCAACATACTGGTCACTAAGTTTACAATGATTCACAAAACTTGTATTCAAACTTTATACTCATATACTATGGATACTACTTCAGATACACTATGGATTAATCTCAACCTACACAACTACATGAAAATCTCATTTCTTATGTATGTTATAGACATATTTCTTTGCCCATATTCTTTACTTTATTATTAGTTGATCTCCCATACAGAAAATACTTTTCAAAGAACAAAAGCCAACAAGAACCTAATGCTGTTAATTCACAAAGAATTAAAGAACAAATGGAAAAAAACTCTTAATAAATCTCACAATATTTAGACTACAGCAAAAAATGTTCATCTGGGTTTACATCAAACCCTTAAATATAGAAAAGAACTAAATCTTAAGTAAAAGCAGAAGTGCTTACTTTTCCCCATTACTTTTCAAATATCACATCAGGATACAAACCTAGGCTTGAGATATTGAAGCAGAAATACATCCCATAAGTGAAGTATACGTAAGTTGTTCCTGGTTTCATGAACATCGGTTTGTTTCTTGGAGTAACTTTACCATTGAAGGAATGTGATGCTTTGTCATTTCCACCAAGATAACACTCAGTTTCCACTATCCTTCCTTTCAAAACAATACCATTTTCCAATGATCGAACTAAAACTTTCCCCAGAAGTTTCTGGGCTAATTCTTCACATGGCACATTATAGAAAGAATATGTTAACCGGGAATCACCAGATGTTTCACTAGCACACTCATTTGTAATGTTACCGTCATGAATGTTTAAACTAGTGCCATCAATACATTCAGGAACAACTACTGCGTTCGAAGTTTCATCGTTTTTCAATTGATCTCCTTTCGTTCCCTCCAGAACATTATTAGCATTGCACTCTTTTCCAAACAGCACGCTTTCATGGTTTTGACACAGACGTTTCGCAGGGAGGTATGATATCACATTCAATTTTCTTTGCATCCCGCACATCTAATACATAATTACGTTAGTTTGTTTTGGAATATTTATTTTATTAATGTCATCTTTCAGAAACGCAGTGGCACCGGCACCCTAACGTCAGATGAAAACAGGTTATTGCTGGACGTACGCGAGTGAAATGACAACTGTACTACAATTTATTGAGTTGTGTACTTGACGTAAAATAGCTGTTCAGTATCATCCAATCACGAGCTTATAGGTCGCCAAAGTGACATGACTATAGGGACATTCAAGCTCTCGATTGGATGAAACCGTGAACAACTGAGTTACGTCAAGTGTTGAGTTAATTAAATCCTAGTATATACTTTATTTTATCAATGGTGGCGCTTCAAGATCATGAACTGGAAGGAGGAGGGGACATTGTTATCAAATCAGCTCTAATAGCAAACATTTTAATTGTAAGGAAGCTCCCGATTGAATGTTAGAGCCCCCACTCCATTCAACTCGTGACCTTGAGGCGCCAATATATTTAAATCGGAGTGTACTGACGATCACAGAAAATGGCTCTCCTTGCGGCTCCACGGGAAATTCAAAGGGGCGCCAGTATCGAATCACTTGTGACCACTGACAGTTGACTGCGCACAGACCTCTATCACCGTTATCTAATCATGGTCGAAATACATGGGCGAGTTCCTCCAGCGTTCAGAATTTTGCTCGTTTTGCGCAACACTAGTTTGATCGTAGCACTTCGTTTGAAAAGCCAGACCAGACGGTGCCATATTTCATGGAGAATGAGAAGTGTTGAGAAACATTTTGAAAGTAGTATAAAGTGACAATTTTTATCGGTAACCAATCAAAAAACACGGTAAGGTGTACAATATGCAATATTTAAAAGAAATACTTCATAAATGTTTCAATGTCTTGTAACAAGGAGATAATTTTGGCATCTGCTGCATTTATTATTCAATTGTTATACAAACTAGTGTCTAAAGCGCATTATCTGAAGTCGGATTTCATGTGCAAGATCCCCGATCTAAATACAATATAGAGATTAGTGTTATCAATGAAACAGCTGCACTCACAGATGTGTATAATAAGCGCACGTTTTCTTGAGCGCCGGAATATCTACCCCCAACTCATTCACTAACATTAGTTGAATTAAGCATAAATGATATCTACGAACCTTATTGATAAAATCTGATAACCTTAAATGTTTGCTTCCGAGTATAGAAACGATTTTACATTGAAAAGCAAGCTACAAATGTTATAATAATTCTGTTGCCGAAGTAAACAAACCTCCCACTCTGTCGCATTTAGCAAAATGAGGGCTCATGAAAACGTGCGCTGATAATAGTAGTGGCTGAACCACTGCTTCAAATAATTCAATTTATTTAATAATATATTTCGACTTGTTTTCGATAACAAAGAGTTTTAGTTGGTTCTGATTTATGTTTGCAGTCTGTTTTTGATACGGCGAGCAATTTTTGAATCCCGGTGGCTTTATACGTATTTTACTATCTCGTTAACTTGAAATTTAATTTCACGAGTTTCTCGATAACTCGAAATAATATCTTCTTCCCCTGAGTGAAAATCTTTTAACTTGAAGAAACTGACGAACTTTGTTTTCACGCCTCGAAATCCAGATCCACCGAGACAAAAATAGAGCAACGTATCACGGAGATGGACAAACATCTCAAATCATTAATTTAAATGTTAAACTTAAAATAATTCGTTCAGTTGAGAAAGTGGTGAATGAGAATAAAAATCTATAGTAGATGAATTCGGTATTGTTACAAGTATACTGTCAACGATTTTAAAAGAAAAAACAAACGTCACGCGGTGGAAGTAGTGGCGTCTCCTCACTCTGGAAGTAGGGCGTTGGTAGTTGAAGAAAGTGTTAACCCCGACACTACACTTTTCGCTTACACGTTTAGAGTAAAATTGAATTATATAAACAAAATCCTGATTTATTTTAAATTGTAATAATAGAAGAATGAGGGGAAAATAGTCGCAAAATAACTATGAGGATGTTGTATTTTCTATTGCAACGATTGGAATAATACATTTTAAAGTATTTAAAAAGACATGCTCGACACTTTTCCCATTCTTCGGTTATCGTTTTAAAAATTCAATTCTGAAATATTATCAGGTTGTTCGCCCATTATCAATTACTTGCTTCTTTTCTTCAAACGAAAGGAAAAGAAGGGTATTTAAAACTATTGTTCCTCTTTTCCACTACACTGATCAACAATTAACACATTAATTTCATGAGTCTTGCTAAAGGCTGCAACGCGCGAAGGAGCGCGCTGCATGTCGATCCAACGCTGCAACGCGCAACATGTCGATCACGGACGTCTGCTCTCCAGCAGGCCGTTGAATCGAGTTCCAACGCCTTCACACCCTGAGATATATACTCTCTGTACACACCATAGAAGAAAAATTATTGTATCTCTCCTCTTTGCTTTGCACGCATAGAAGAGAGCGTACAATACTTGAGTGGGGGAAGTCGCGCGCTTGCGCTGTCGCAGTGCTGCCACCCGTCCGCCTATTGTCAACCAACCGAGCACAACCGAGTCTCATGTTCAGAGAAGAGAGAACATAAGATCTTTATTTTGAAATTGACAATTAAGAGTTCTATTGCCCCAACATCTTGAACTATGGATTACATCTGACAGTTCAAACCATTCAATTCATATCAATAAGAAAAAAGATATTGGCAATTACCTAACTCTTCAAAATCTTCCTAAATCTTATAAATCATATAATTAAGAAAAAATGAAAATAGAAATAAAGAAAAACCGTATAATTCAGAAGAACTAGACTTTATTGATGCATTTTATACAAAACTTCAGTAATATTATAACTGTTGAATCTATTATCTATTGAAAATTTTAAGTCCATGGCAAAAAATTACTAAATAAAATAGTTCCTACATTCATAAAAAGTAAAAAGTACAAATGTATAAATATTTTTTTACAAGTTGATGGAATACCACCTAACACGAAAACCTTCCAATAACTCTGCAAATTTTCCATTTCCTCAATGTCATTTTGTACCATATTCCTCCTTGCCAATTTTTCCCTTCTACCTACTTTTGTCAAATCCTCAGATAATTTTGATGAATCAAATCTACCACTCTTATCATCATCCTCTGACACAATTTTTGCACAAAACCAATACAAAATTGGGGATGAAGATGAAATTAACCTAGTTGTAACTTGAACATGGACACATAATACACTGAATACTGTCAAGAACAATGCATGAATGACATAAGGAAGTACATCTTCTGGTAAATGGACTGTTTTAGAATAACTTTCCTCGTCTTTGGACAACTCTTTTTTTGATTTTGGAAAGTCATACAATCCAAGATATAAGCAATATCTTTTGTGTTTTTTTATGTAATAATAGGTCTCGCTCAAAATAATCCAAACTACAGGAAAAGCCAAAACAAAATTGGGAATCTGTTTCCAATGATAATATCTCAGAAAGCCAACGTTCCAATAATGTGATTGAATGTAAGAATATGATAATGGTAGTGCCATTGCACACCAGTGTCCTTCCTCTTGAATAATTCCCCCAGGAATAATTAAATCATTTGTTTTGGCAAATGTAACCAAAAAATTGGGCAAACTATGATTGTGAGGAATACAATACTTTTGATAGCTGTATATCTGAAAGGATACAAAAGGTAAAAGAGAGAGTATAACTGACAATATGTAAGGTAAAATAAAAACACCACTTATCATTAATATCACAGGCATCATCCACAAAATTCTTACACTGAAATTTCTTATTTCTCTACTACATTTTGGTAGAGTTTCATGAAAAAACGTTTTAAGGCACTTATACCCTATAAAACCAATATTCAAAATTCCATTTGATCTTGTAACCCCACTCAAACCAAATACGATTCCACAATTCATTGAAAATTTTTCTTTGAATCCGCATCCACATTTTAACAAACCATAGAAAGTCAAACATGAATAAAGTGATTCTGAATAAGACGCAGAAAAGAATATACTGGCAGGATTTACACAATAAAAAATGCATGCTCTGTATGCTAGTCTTTCATTTTTCAGCACTCTAAGGCTTAAGTTATATAAAATGGAAGCTGATTTTACAAAACAAAACAAGTTAATACATACTGAACTGATCAAATACAAAGAAAAATCACTCAAAATTCCTCCAGCTATAATATACAATAATTGTGCCATCACTCGACAAACAAGTGGGTAAAGTGGAAAAAATGCTAAACAATTCTCATAAGTATAACCATACATTGCAATATGCATAAAGTATTGCGCATCCCATCTCATCAATCCTCCACAAAGATACCTGACAGCCACATCACCAAATGTTTCCTCAATGATTTCTGATTTTGGGGCAACAAAAGCATCTGCATCATGATCAGGTATTAGAAGATTAAAGAGAGCAGATGTGGCAAGCACAAACACACGCGAGTATAATGCAAACCACCACACTTTGTCCTTCAGTGAAAGAATCATTACGCTCCTAACTCAAGCAGCTAAAGAAACGTACATATATTTAAGAATCTTAAAATACGGTGGATATTAGATGTAAAGAACAGTGTATATACACAAGTGGTGAATTCTGAGGTAGTTTGACTTCATGTTAGTAATAGATCAGGATCTTTATTTCAATGAAGTGTCATTACATGCACATCCTGAAACATATACACATATAATTAATTTTGAAACAATTGTTGTTTAATATGAATATAATATCAATGCATAATATATCTAAAAGACACTTGAATAACATTTCTCAAAGACATTGAGTTATAAGGAAATTGCTGATAAAATAGAATTGCGTATAAGATGTTTGTCATTCTCCGTGTGATATATCTATCAAGTATCAATCATTTACAAAAATGAAACCTATTAAACTCCTAACCACATTCACCAATTAACATAGCTGTCTTCACAGCATAATTAGTGAGATGTATGAGAATAGTGCTACTCTTACTGCTTGATGCTACTATTCTTCTTTTACAATTTTTTTCCCTCTCCCACAAAATGATCCAAATTAAAATGGGAGGAAATATTTACTGTATATAAAGATTTATGACAAGAGTCTTCCATTGCTCCCACTCAATTAAAATTTTTATTCAAACATGTTTTCAAAACATGAAAAAATGATGTAATTTGAGAATCATATTTGATATGTTATGTAGAAGACCAAACTATC